ACAAACTGTGAAAGACTCTAAAAATAAAAAATGGAGATGTTATATGTGTTAGGATATAGTTCCATTCCACCTTAAAAGGGTACAGGCATGACTGTGTGTCACATGCCTGTTTACTTCTAGCAGAACAGTCTTCTGGGAACTTCTGTTGTATGTTGCTTTTGCTATACTGCTGTTTTTGCTGGACACAAAGGCAAGCAGACATGTTTTCCTTTGTTCCTGAGCTATGCTGAATAAAATGCTGTAAATATGCTTGCACATCTCTCTCTGTCCGCCTCTTCTGCTGTGAGGTGATTTACACACTCTGCTGACAGAGTGTGCACGGGTCTCTAAACGAATCTGAGGCTTGTGTGGCTGACTGACTGATGCTGTTCCATGGGAGACTGGTGATCGTCCGGAGCCTGCTGGGGGCCTGCCTGATGCCCCTGACTCCCCGGAAGTATCCCAACAATATGTACTTTCACTTATTTATTTGTTTGTTTTGCAACACAAGAAAATCTCTAAGAAAACTATTTTTATTTTTTTAAAAAAGGAAGGGTGTGGTACCAGCCAGCATTTTGATGCAACAATGTTGTTTGGATGCTGCAAAAAAATTGCACCCAAGGAACACAGATCCAGCTATAAACACTTGTCGGGAAGTGCTCTCAGCTCATAGACCAAAGTCAAGCAACCTGTAGCCCTCTAGATGCTGTTGGACTGAAGCGCCCACCATCTCTGATCATGCTGGTTGGGGATGGTGGAAGTTGGAGGCCAACAACACCTAGAAGGCCACAATTTAGCCATCCTCACCAAAGCTTATTTAACAACCTTGTTAATTCCTCCTTGCCGATTACATTGGCCTGGGTATAAAAAGATACAGCTTGGTCATCAGCCTAAATCCCTCTTTAATTTTTAGCTACAATGTTTTCCATGTCAGTGTGCTTAGGATTATGACCTAAAACTTTACGGGGAATGGTTGTTTATGTTCATTTCCTTTCAGATTCCTGGCACAAGTACTGGGCAGAATTCAAGCATGTAATGAGAGTTTCGGATTCTAGTTCCGATAAGTCCAGTTTCCCAGAGTTCTGTATTTGACAAGGGAAGATTTATTCTGCTTTGATTTGCAGAGAGCAATTGCTTTATTTTAAAAAAGGTCAGAATATTTGCTACAAGAATAACATAACGAACAAGTCTTCAGCTTTATAGTCATTCTTTGTCCCTTTATGACTAGATGCATGCCTACCATGTAAATGTCTGCCAGATAACACTGCTAACACCGTGCCATTTGAAGGTTTGGAACTCACAAGACATTGTTTCAAAAGAAATGAAGGACCCTCAACTAACCTGCAGATGAAAAGAGGCTCACAGAGATCTTTAATTAGATTGTGCTCTTGGAAGACAATAGTATGATAAAGAAGATTTAGTAAAGCATTTTGTCATTTTATTACTTTAATTTCAAGCAAGATGCTTAACTTCAAAGGAGAGCCAAGCTACTCTCCCTCTATCCAATGAATAACTCCCCAAGGAAGAAGAAGAAAAAATGTCCTCATAGCTTGGCTGATGCTGTTGAGGGTAAAAAGATCAAACGTAGTCTTTCTTCTTGTAAGGATGGGCATAATCCACATGGACGTTTTGCACAAGCGCTCTCTCTCTCTCTCTCTTAAAAAAAACACAGTTTTATTGATTTTCCAAATCATTACAGATCAAACCAAATTACTTTAATTTAATACAATTTCTTAATATCAGGTTTCCTGCTTTCGTTGCAATCATATGTCCAAGATTCCCCCCCGTAGCTGTTTCATTTCTTATTTACTCTCCAGCTGACATCCTTCACTTACCATCAAACCATTCTTCAAGCTGTCTGCTTTTTCACCTTACAAAACAGCACCTCAGTTTCATCTTGTAAATACGGTACTGTCTTACCTCACTTTGCTTTGTACCATACTCTCAATTTCATGAACGTTACATTTGCCATAAAGTTGCAGAGTTTGTTCCATACAGGAGAGCTATTTATTATCACATTAGATTGGCTGCCAGGTGGTTTTTACCAACTTTGTCCAACTTCATTTAAGACTGGGTGTTGTTCCCCCTGCACTTTGGTATATCCGCAGCTTAAGCTGAAGCATAATTTGTGACCAACCTTAAACTGAGGTTTATTTTATTTTAGTAGCTCTTTCGTGACTAATTTGAACTTACGTTGGAGTTTAGAGAAATATTTACACAGAAATAACCTGAGATTGTGTGGTGTAAACGCAGTGCCATTCAGCTATGTAAATAGCTGCAACAATGTTTAATTGAATATATAACACTAGTAAAATGGAAATGCCATTCTCGTTCCACTTTGGTCTATGCCCCAGCTTTGATAGCACACATGAACAGGGCTAATTGATAGTGGAAGTTATAGTTTTAAACAGGGGCCCATAACTCTGCTATATGTCTGGAAACCTTTATTGTTACAGCCTTTGCCTTTTGTCGAAGTCTTTTGGCCGGCTTCAAGCATCAGTAACCTGTTGCATCCAAGTTATTTGTTCATCATTCATAAACAGATTGTTCCTAAGTTTGCTTTTACCAGCAGATTTATCTACAGCTGGGCTTTCTCGCTGTGGTTTTCACCGATGCCATCTGGTGATCAAATGTGGCTTTTTCTCTCAAGTAGACTTGGAATTGTCATCCAGATATTTACAACCTCATCTTGTCTTTCCTTTATATCAAGCTTTTCATTGGTCAGTTCCAGATGACTTATTTATTGTTCATCCATATTGATTTGCAGAGAGGCAAATTTGCAGTTGCTGTAATTCACAGAAAGGCAGAGTGCTCTTCTGCTTTGGTTGTGTTTGGGGGTTTCCATGGGCATCTGGTTGGCGATTATGAGGACAACATGCTGGATTAGATGGTCTATTGGTTTCCACTTGCAAAACACTGCACACAAGGCTATGCATGCTCTTTGCAGATGCCCTCAATCAGCTGAATGTCAGCACTTGCATAATTCTGTGCACAGGGCTTTGCAGGTGCTACCAATCAGCTGATCAGTCATACCTGTAAACCCCCTTTATCTCCAGCCATGTCTTTTTTCCTGTAGGGCAGGTGTGGATAGTTTGAACACAACTGTGGACCTGATTAAGCCCAGGTGCTGGAGGTTCCTCACTGCTGCTCCTGTTCTTTAAGCCTCTCCTTGAATTTGGAGACAGCAGTGAAGGGGACAGAAGAGATTCTAATGGCCAATTCTCTCTGGCACTGTCTCTTCTAACTCTGAGCCTTCCTGTACCTCTCCCCCCCGCCAAAAAGCAGTTCATCTAGATAGAGCTTTATGAAGTGACTGATGGACCTGACACTTTGGCTAGGACAGACCCTCCAAGTGTCCCTATTTTCCAGGGACAGTTCCAGACATACAGAAGATGTCCTGGATTCTGATTTGATCCCAGAATGTCCCACTTTTCCTAAGGACATCCCTATTTTTCATTGGAGTAATGTTGGAGGGTATGGTTATGTGACCCTGAGCCAAAGAGATAAGTAACTATACAACCTTTAGAAGACATCTGAAGGCAGCCCTGTATAGCGAAGGTTTTTAATGATTAATGTTTTATTATGTTTTTATATATGTTGGAAGCTGCCCAGAGTGGCTGGGGCAATCCAGTCAAATGTGCAGAGTAAAAATACAACAACAACAACAACAACAACAACAATAATAGGATGTCCCTATTTTCATCAGAGAAATGTTGGAGAAATTTGATTGGATGGAGTTATGGGCACATGCAAAAATATCCTAGTTATAAACATACTATAGAAGGCACATACTTTGGGCAGTAGAATCAATTGTTGACCTTGAGGTTGTTTTAGGTAGTCATCCAGCCCTTCCACAAGCCCCTATATCTTCTCCATGGAGGCAAGTATCAAATTAGACCTTCATACATTTGAAGGCTTTCCAGCAGGAGAGAATGAAATAGTTTAAATATTTACTTCCAGAGTGGTTAATACCAAGTCTCCATGCAGTTTGACCAGCGCTTCCTGTTTCCTGTTGAGAGTGGCCATTTGAGTGTGGCCACCAATGCTGGTCAAAGAAAACATTGCCATACAGGTGAGCAAGCATGAAGCAGTTTCCCGTGCCTGAATCACGACCTTGCCACCCAAGTGGTGGCTCTCAAATAAAACCTTGAAACCAAGGGCTGCATGTTGCTTTTGCTTCCTTTCCTTTCCTCCTATCTCTATGGTTTAATCTATGGATTTGTCTGCATTTTAATGGCAGACAAATTTTAAGTTGTCTGTCCTTTGAGATGCCAGGTCACAAGATCCTTCCTGGGATTTAAAAAAAAACCTATGGTTCAAGGGAGTGTATTTCTTTCAGTCCTTTGGCCTGGAACTCTCACCATCCCATCTAAAAGAAAGTAATTGAGCAAGGAGAGACAACACATTTTTATATGGTGCTAAACTGAAAAAGACTTTCCTTTTCAGTCTCAAAGTGCCCAGACAGCATTAAGAACTAAGCAAATGAAAGTTTCTCAAAGTTTTGTTGAACACAAAGAAGTATTTTTTAAAGTGTCAAGAATATGTAAATGTTGCCATTTGGCTAATGCCCAAAGTGTTGGCTGCTACTTGGCATTAATATAAATTAGTATAAATTGCTGTTTAAGTTCTGCTTCTTACGTCTCAGAGAGTATAAACATTGTAAATTACAGTACAGTGTTGTGGATCTATATGACTCTCTTTAAAGCTTAAGCCAATTTTTCCTGGGGATTGGTGGGGCAGCATAGGACCAACCCTTTAGAAGTAAATTTTGGATTTTTTTTTACTTAACCCATTTCCCAATCACTATATTATTTTTATGATAGGACCACATGTTTGACTTTAAGCTGCTCTCCCTCTTTGGCTGCAAGTGTTACACTATTCACCAAGGAGTTGGCCAATTGAACTAAAAGGAACACAGGATGCTGTCTTGGTACTGAGTCAAACCAACTGGTCCATTGAGCTGAATAATATCTACACTGACTAGCAGAGACTTTTGGACTGGGGACTCTGCCAAACCTAGTTGGAGATGCCAGGGATTGAACCTGTGACCTTCTGCATGCAAAATAGATGCTCTGCCACTGAGCTACGGCCCTTCCCCATTTTGGAATGCTCTTTCAGAATAAAGCAGTGGAGGACTACTCTATCGTGCACATTAATGACTGGGCTACAAAGGCCACTGGAGTTTGAGAGGTGCGCAAAAGCTGCTGCCATCAAAGTATATGCTCTGTCAAAGTATATGTAATGAAGTCAATTCTAAGACTGTGGCTTACTAGGTGAAGGTTGTGTGCGCATGCATGTGAGTGTGTGTGTTCAGTATGCATAAAAAGGAGTCGCTGTAGCTTGGAAGTGAACACCCTTTCTAGAGACAGGTACTACATTCTCGTTCTGTTTCTAGTCAGTGCATGTCCCACAACTTCTGCTGCATTTCTGTACCCCTTTGAACCTCAAATGTTCCGAATTGTGTTTCTTTGGCCCATTTTTGTGGTGCTTTAGTGCAAGAGTGTCCCTCCAGATCGCAATCGGGCGATAACATGGGGAAAGCACTGCAGAATGCCTATTAATAACATAAGAAGAGCCTGTTGGATCAGGTCAATGACTCATCTAGTCTAGCATTCTGTTCTCACAGCAGCCAACCAGATGCCTGTGGGAAACCATCAATCAGGACTTGAGCAGAATACCACTTTGCCCTCCAGTAGTTTCCAGTATTCAGAAGCATTACTGCCTGCGACTGTGGAGGTGGAGCATAGCCATCATAGCTAGTAGTTGGCATCTTTCTCCTCCATGAATTTGCCTAATGCTCCTTTAAAGCCATCTAAGCTGGTGATTTCTTAAGGAAATCAGCCCTGAGTGCTCACTGGAAGGACAGATCCTGAGGTTGAGACTCCAATACTTTGGCCACCTCATGAGAAGAGAAGACTCCCTGGAAAAGACCCTGATGTTGGGAAAGATGGAGGGCACAAGGAGAAGGGGACAACAGAGTACGAGATGGTTGGACAGTGTTCTCGAAGCTACCAACATGAGTTTGACCAAACTGCGGGAGGCAGTGGAAGACAGGAGTGCCTGGCGTGCTCTGGTCCATGGGGTCACGAAGAGTCGGACACGACTAAAAGACTAAACAACAACAAGAAAGTTGGTGTGGGAGTGAATTTCATAGTTTATTCAGCAAAGTGGGATGATGCATGGGCAGTCCAGGAAAAATCTACCACTAATGAATGATTATTGCATCAATGCCATGTTGCAGAATGCACCCATGAAAAACACATGTGATGATGCTCATAGACAAGCAGTCAAACCCAGCAGCCAGCAGACTGTTGGGGAATTGATGGCTTAACCACAAGAATCAGGGCTGTGTAACCCATTTCTGGATTGGACTGCTAATGAAACCAAGTATTCTAAATCACCAAAGGAAAAACGAAAAGGTGATATCGTCCAAATGACACAATTCTAGAAAATGTTAAGAGGTATATTTATGATCTATTTTGGACCATTTTACTTTCCTGTTCATGAAACTGTGCATACTATTGTAAAATTTCTGTGGAAGGGTGTTAAAAGACTGAACCGAAAGAATAGCAAATAGTAAATCTACTGAATCATGTGGTCCTTCTTTGATATATTTTTCTGAAGGAGTTTTGCCTACACATTCTTCATTCGTAGTGTTTAGCCTAGAGATGTATTTGTCAGGGAGCCTTGCTCCTTCACTGAAGGCTTAAAAGCCACTAAAATCAATGCAGTATGTTTGCACTGGAAATATATAGTTGCAGCTCAAACACACAATGATATGTTTGTACAGCTTTAATCAAACGTGCTCTCACACAGTTACCAACGTGATTAAGAACATTTTGAGAAACCTGCCACTTCACACAGTAAAGACTGAATGTGACCTTTAAAGGGTAAATTTGTGTGCCCAATAAACAGACTGGCTTTTTAACGCTTTGTACAGATGTTTCATGTTTATGATTTTATCTTTACTACATTTTAAATATTCTTAAATGCATGCTCTTTTCAGTTCTGACAACTCTTTATATAGCAGGATGATCCTTGAAATCTTTTAAACACGATCGCAATGGTCCCTGGGGAGATCTGATCCTTAGCTTCATGTTACTGAATGTATGGAATTTGCCACCAAGATGGCTTGGTACATTCTGATCCTAAGCATATTGATTTGAAAATAATTTCCATTGGTTCCTGACTTCAAGAAAATGTGCGACTTTTCCTATCCATGCTTATCCACAAGATGTCCCACTGAGTTCTAGAAAGCAATTATATTTACTATTAGGATTTAGGCATTTCACACAGCCCTAGAATTTGGAAGTAGGTCACAATTAAATGCATAAAAGTTGGGGCTGAGCAAAAAGGGCACCCCCAAATTATCCACAATGTTTTTGGACAGTGAACTTGAGGTAGAATTGGGCAGGTGCCATATTGCTGAATATTTTCCAGGGGATGAGTGAAATTCTACAGATGTTCAAGAGGACTTTTTTAAGAAGAAAAATTTAAAAGAACTGTTGGAGGGTCAGGGGGAATCTGAGAAATTATATATCATTTATAGTAATATAATGAGAAAAAAGTACCTTTTCTGCTATAACATATATCTAAAACTGGATGCAGAGAGCCAGCCTGGGAAAACTAAATGATCATGCAAAGCATGGTATTTGTTTCTTCCCCTGTGCCATGAGATCCCATGTGAAATACTGCATTCCAGAAGGCACAGCAATAGATAGGTCTGTTTCTGTGTGTCTGGGGTGGGAGGAATCCACAAATGGGGGGTTTGCTATGGAGCTGAAATCAGAAGAGTAGATGGAGATTCATTCATTGCTCAGTGTACACTGAAATGGTGTAATTTCAATTTAAGTGCTTATTTTTTCATGAATGATGAAGGTCATTCATTCTAAACTAACCTAAAGACCCTCCAGAAGACAAGTGCATTCAAAGCTAAGATGCTTCTATTCCCTCAAGTTTTGTCCTGTTGGATTTTGAAGTGGAAGGTCACGGGCAATGTATGTGATGACAACCAAATGGTACATTTCTCAGTGACGTAGATGGATTGGTAACATTTGTGTGTTATAGTCAGTGAGAGTGCATAAAGTAACAGTAGCATTGGTAATGACCGCAGGTGTCTGGGCATGCATTGCAAATCAATAGTGACAGAAGCTGTATAAAAACACTCCAGGAACCACAGACCTCATGGGACCCACATTTCAAACCATAACTTAATCACAACTGTTTATCGGCAGCATTTACCTAATGGATGAAGTGTCAAAAAGTATCTTTGACATTATGCTTCATACTGTCCTCTGATTTATATATTTATGCAGGCTACACATACAAAGAATGACTAATTTTTTTCTGTGTGTTTGAAAGGTGATTGGAAATATTTGCTACAACTTTACATCCATATAATTCACACTGTGCAAAAGACTCCCTCTTGTACGTGCAAGCGTATTACCTGAAAAAGAGAAGAATTTGCATTGCCATTGAGTAGAAGGAAAATTATTGGAGGGAAATGGGTTAATACTGAAAATAATATTTCTATTCATTGCAAAAAGGTTTATAGCTACTGCTGCTGGACTTGTACTTTAGTGTTTGCATCTGCTCAGTGTGAAAGGTATTGCGTTGGGTTCTTCTACAATTCAAGCTCTTTGTCCTTTTAAAACAAATAAATATGAATGCACCCCATCTATTTGTATTAAAAATGAATGGGGAAATAATGAATAGGGAAAAAAGCAAATGAAATATCATTCATTTCATTTTCCCATTTGTTTTGATTCATTTTTAAAGGCATTGGAAGAACTTGCTTGCATCAGATACTTTGGGATGTATTCAAACAATCCTTTTTGCTGGCAGAAGGCGGAGCACAAAGGCTCCTGCTAGTGCAATGACATTTCTTCCTCTCTCCATTCGTGCCTCCCCTGAATCACTCTGGAGGGTCAAGAGAAATCCAGAATTTCACACAGAGGAAGGAAAGAGGAGATTGTTCACTTGGGCAAGTAGAACTCATTGTACTGGAGGAACAATCTTAGTGCTACATTGAATTCCACCCAATGTCTGGACACATTTTACAGTTCACATAAAAATCACAGGGAGAGGAGAAAGGCAGACAAACAATGACAGTTATGCTGTATGGCATGGGTAGGCAGACTAAGGCCCGGGGGCTGGATGCGGCCCAATTGCCTTCTAAATCCAGCCCGCTAAATCAGTGTGTTTTTACATGAGTAGAATGTGTCCTTTTATTTAAAATGCATCTCTGGGTTATTTGTGGGGCATAGGAATTGGTCCATCCCCCCCCCCAAATATAGTCCAGCCCCCCACAAGATCTGAGGGACAGTGGACCGGTCCCCTGCTGAAAAAGTTTGCTGACCCCTGCTGTACGCACATTTGTGTATAGAAGTAAACCTGTCCAATCACAAGTCCTAATACAGACTGGGGAACCTGTAGCCCTCCAGATGTTGTTGGACTACAACTCCTACCATCCCTGACCATTTGGCATACTGTCTGAGGCTAATGAGAGGTAGAGTTCAAATGTTGTCTGGAGGTTACAGTTTCCCCACCCATGTCCTATTAGATCCTCCAATTCCAAAACAGTGTTTTGTTTTGGTTTTTTCGGAGGCTCATCAAATGTTGCTGTAGAAAATATCTTTGAAGACTACAGGCATGGATATTATAATCCCTGGAGCCTTGCTTTTTCATACAAGTATCTTAGAAACAAGCAACTGAAAGATACAACATGACTTAGCTAGGATGTATATCACAGGAAAGTCAATGGAACATAAGAACATAATAAAAGTCTGTTGGATCAGGCCAATGGTCCACCTATTCCAGCATCCTGCTCTAACAGTCGCCAACCAGATGCCTGTGGGAAACTCAAAAGTCTACCATAGATTACAGTAGCTAGGGAAAGCTGCCCCTGTTGTTCACTAATATTCTATAAATTACATTCTGGGAGCTAAAATGCAGAACACTTAAACCCTTAAAGGATTGGCCCACATATCTGAGAGCTAAAGAAAGTTGCATGATGGAATATTGGAGAAGGAACTTCTGCTTCCAGATCACTTGTGCTGGTGGTGGGGCTTTAAAAAAAACAAATGTCAAA